ACCCCTACAACCCCCCCACAACCCCTACAACCCCCCCCCTCTCCACAACCTAGCCCTGCCGCGTGGTTGGTGGGTGCTCTGGTGTGGTTCACTCCTTTCTTCCTGTCAAACGTTTCTATCACATGTATCTTTCCTCCTTCTTTTCCTTTTACTTTATCCTCCATTACTTACTTACATTTTATTTGTTAAAACTCGTTCTGTCCTCTCATACCACGAGGTCTCCAAAAAAAAAAGGGGGGGGACTGTAATTGTCCCTTGCCACTTCTCATCTTCGCCACTTACAATACACGTATAAGCTAATTGTGTTGTAAGTGTCGCAACGCTCTTCCGGAAATTAAACTGAATTAAAACAGTCTACGCCCTCCTTCCCCCTTTCTTTTCTTCTCGCTCCAGGGTCCCCGCAACTGTGTCGGAATGAGACTGGGCCTGCTGGAGACAAAAGTTGCAGTGGCGGCCATCTTGCAGAAGTTCAGCCTATTCCGCTGTCAACAGTCAAAGTACCCCGTGGTTCTCGAGCAGTTTCGGATGGCGGCTAAGTACGGTGCCTGGGTCAAACTGGAAGCTCGGACATAAAGACGAATTCCTCATCCCTCACAAGTTCAAATTTTAACTGAAAGACTGTCAACAATTTTCCGTTTCTGATATTAAACCGCAGGGGTGAAGGCTAACCTGTTTGACAGGGTAATCAAAGTGAGACAAAGAACCAGACAGAGATCCCACAAAGGGAACACAAGTAACAAAAACTTCTTATTCGAGTTGGCTTCACTGAAATGTGAATGAAATCAAATCCTGTTGTCCCGCCAACGTATTAGATCTGGAGAAAAGATGTAATTGATTAATATTTATTCCCACTTTGGGCAAAACGTAATAATAACTTTTAAACGTGCGGTGGGAATATTGGACTCAAGATTTTGTCATAGTGAATGTAACTAAAGATGTTACTACACAAACAGAAGTGAAAGAAGCAGAGATGAAAATACAACAAAACGTATTATCAATTTGGTTTCAAATATATCGCTGTCTTTTTTTTCAAATTAACCTTTTGCGGCCAGGAGAAGATAATCTGCGATGACCTGATTAAAGGACAGTAAAAAGTCGAGGAAAAAACAACAAGCACCTATAGCGGCCATGACATTATTAGGTGTTAGTCCCCCCTCACCTTTTTAGGTAGACTCTACCAGTTTAATTGTTAGCTTAAATAATCAGTGCTTGTGATTGCTTATGAGAGGGGCCCAAAAAGGGTGAACAGGGTACAAGTATTTATGAGGAAATGAAACAGTTTGATTTTTTGTGTTTTTATTTTTGCTTCTTTTTTTTACCTCTACAATGAGAACACTTAAAATATAATATGTAGATCAGTCTGATCTATACAGATCGCCTGATCTCAGTGATCCTCTGTTAGTTAAATAGCCCCGACTGTCCAACATCAATGAAAATGATGCTGCTGTTTGATCTATGTTTGAAATGTGTCTTTTTGTTGTGGATTTACTTTGTATATTTAAAAAGTTAACAATTCTTATGTGGATCAAAAGAAAGTTTATTGTCAAATTATGGGAAACCCAAATCCTTTTCAGTTTCACAAGTAGCCTACCCATTGATGACACTTCATTGCCAATCTTCATGACCTAATCCTATCTCTTCATATCTTTTTTCTCACCTACGTGCATGACACGACATTTTGAGACTTTAACATTAAATTGATTAATTGATTAAAAAATATATAAAATTCCGTGCATGATTGTATTGCCTAGATCTGACCAATCCTGTAGTTTCAATAGCGGTGTACGTCCTGTTGTATGTAATCATTTCTTCACCACTTGTTGTCCTGTATATAGTTTTGTGTTACAAAGAAAATATCATTAATAAAAAGTTTTATTGGGTTGATCACTTTGTGTAAGCACGTTTGTGTTGATATTTGTCGTTATTTTATTGTTATCAGTTTATTATCAGTTGTTGTATCAATGTAGACTACCTTAAAAACCAAGTAAAAGCAACTAAATTAGGACGCTTGTGTTGATATGTGTCGTTATTTGTTGTTATAAATTGATATTTGTTGTTATCGGTTGTTATTTGTTGTTATCTCAACAAAGATAAATACCTCCTTAGAATTACAAAAATTCTACCTGACAGTTTTGGCTGTTTTTGAGTTACTAAGACCACGAGGTCAGAAACCAAATTATCCGCTCTATAAAAATTGAAAGGTTATTCGGATATTCAAAGAATTGCTTTCGAAAAAATCTTGACAAGTTGTGAAACTCAAAATACCTAACTTCAAATTTATCAAAACTAGGCATTGAGCAAATAGAACTGAGTAAGTCTTTTTTTTTTTTAGTAAGAATTTTTCGGCACTTGCAACACAATAAGGCCATATAAGTGCCGAAGAATAGATGTGTTACAAGAGAGCAAGGTACACAAAAAGAAGGGGGGGGGGGAGATAAGGACGATAAACGTTTGATAGGAAAGAAGGAGCAAATCACACTAGAACTCCTGCCAACCACCCATACTGAGTAATTCTGAGGTATCGCTCCTTATTGGCCACAGTGACGACAGCGCTGGGGGCATGGAGACCAGAGGCGGTCGGTGGCGTTATCAATGTGGTGTGTTGGAGGGTGGATTGATCCGTTTTGGTGTTTCGTTAATGGGAACAGTTGTTTTTTTTGTTATTCCCCCTGGGTTGGATCACTTCTCATCTTTCCTATCTACTATCTATTTAGATCTAGATTCTAAACGTTTTATAGATGTAATACAACCTGAAGGGCGGCCTCTAAACTTGGGGGTGAGAATTAGACACATACACTGGCAGATCTAAGTAGATCCAGTACGCCTCTACAATTTTATGCTGGGTCTGGAAATATTGAGTACATTCAAACGAGAGTGCTAATGCTAAGGCTAGGGGGTGAAATGTCCCTTTTAGCTTTTGAATGCTTTCTGTCATATCAAATCAATCTCACAGCATGCTTCCCAGGAAGTTGAGCTTGCTTCAGAACGCTCTCGAGGTCATTAGCCGAGTCCCGAGTCTGTCCGTGGATGATCTGCAGCAAGGACTTTCCTACACATCAACAGTCTGCATTCTCATGGAATATCTTAACCTTCGACTATACCATGTTCATCTTCGCTAGGCCGAGATGACATAGATCAGAGCATGGCAATGTGTTCATGATTCCTCGATTGTCTTGTAAAGTGGGATCATTTTTCTCGATGGCATTTGGTTTAGTGCAAAGCCCATTTTCACCCAGCGGGATATGTTAACTCCAAAAATGCTGTCTATTGGGCACCCTACTCTATGGTCTCTAGAAGCCACTTCTTAGTGAGCATGTACAGTGTATGTGGCTTTAAAAACGTATGGTTTAGCAGGTCCTTGTGTTAGGGCACCACTGAACATTTAAAAATGTGTCGAGTCCAAAGGAGGGAATGTGGTGCACTGCTTCTAGGAATTTCAGAATGAAATCAGTAGGTTTTTAGAACTCAAATATAATTAAATATTCTTTAAATGTCACAGGGATGAACAACTAATGTCAAAGAGAAAATAAAGAAAAAGGTCAACTAATCTTTTCACGACTTCCTTTACAAGATTTTTAAACGTTGGTGAACTTTGCGTTTTTTAATGCTTTTTTTCTTTTAGTAGTTTCTGTTTTCAAAACAGGTTTCTTTTTCAAGGATTTTATATCAGACAAATTCCGTTTGAATGAATTATGTTTGTTCCAAATTACAGCTTTCTAGAATAATTTTTGCGCGAGATATTCAGAAAAAGTAGTAAAGTTGTTGGGGTTTTTTTTTATCACCCTGTACTTCTAGTTCGAAAATCTCATTGAAACTTTCAGTATTTCTCCAGAAATCATTTTGACAGACTGATATGCAAAGCGTACGGATCGGATTAACGAGTAAATTTCCTCTTTGGAAAGTGGTG